TTCACACCTGTTATTTCACAAAATTGATGACCTCACTGATTGAATGCCACACTGCTATTTTTTTGAACACACCCCTTTCAACTAATTGCCCAATTTCACAGCCTTAAGAGCGTGCATATCATGCATGCTGGGTCTTGTTTGCTTTCTGAGAATCTACTGCACCTACTGGTAACTTGTTTGCCATGTAGCAATAAAAAATATACTAAAAACCTGGATTATTCTGGTTAGTCACATTGTACTGCTATTATTTTGAACAATACTGTACCTATACACTGAGTAACCTGAAAGCCCTACACTGTACTACAACCATAGAGTCCGCCAAGAAATAATACATTTGTAAAATCAACTACTTTTAATTGATATTGACAGTTTGTTCTTTACCTTTGAATCAACATGTGACAAAAGAGTCTCCACTCAAAGAGCCACACTTACTTGTTCTGGGCCTTTTGACCATATCACATGCCAGCATGTGAGTAAAGTGCTCAGAATAATGGAAAGCTTGAAGATCTCCAGTCCCATGACAACTAAGCAAACCTCACTTGCTGATGAAGGCTACTGTATGTTAGCCTAAAGCTCTAAAAAAAAAAGTGGACCAAGTAGAACTTGAGTGGTGTTTGTTTTGTCAATGGATGTTAGTTTCAACTGTGGCAAAATAAAGCAGCCACTAACATCCCTATTCAAAATGTTCTACAAATGAGATTTGTTTAGCTCTCAGCTGGACTGTGAAAGAAACACTAAACAATCATTTTATGCATTCAAATGACTGTAATGAGATACAGTTGATGTCCCTTGTAGTGAGAAATCTATAGATAACTGGGATCAGCCTCGACAGTACCCCATCGTCTCTACAGGGCTTTGTAGCCTCTTTTAAATCATTTGTTGATGGTTTTCCAGCCAGCGGCTTTGCTGCTGATTAACTCTCATTGTTCTCATTAACAGTAGCTGGTTACGTAAAACAAACTTTGATAAAACTACAAAGTTAGCAATTAGCCAACATAGTGAACATACTGTATTTCTCAGGAGTTGGTGGAGTAAAGAATTAGTACATATGTCTGGTCAGAAATATAACTTCAAATGAATGTTGCTCAAGCATTTCTTGAATATATAAACTGCTAACAGTTCACCAGAACATATTTACAGTAGGTTTTGTACAGTAGTGTTAGCATGTTAATGTTAGCATGCTAACCCTGTATTGAATGCTCAGTATTTTCAAATATATCCAAGCTTGTTATAATGTGAAATGTTAGGCAGTATTATATGATCATAATTTGTCAGTGCTGTGTTTACAGCCTGTTGGCCAAAAAGGTAAATTAATGTGCAAGTGGGGCATCTTTAAACAATGTGCAACTGTTGTCTCTTATTCAAGAAAAAAGGGGGTGGGTGGTTTAATCAGTGCCATTTTCTCTTCTCCTGTAAGGAATTTAAATGTTTTGCCTGTGTTATTTCCATTATGAAGCAGACAATTTTGCTCAAATACTTCTTGGAAAGTTTATTAACCACAATCATCCGACTCACACCGAACAGAGCTCACAAACAAACACTTGTTTCAAATGAAAAAAGAAAGAAAATACACACCTGCCAACTATACTTTAGCTGCTGTGTCACAACAATGGCCAAACAGAGTGCTATATAGTATTTCTAGCCAGTGGTTGCAGTTTACATGAACACTAACGGCGTTTCACTCTGGAGTCTGCCTACTTTTGGTCCTGATGTTCACGCTGGATGAACAGATAACTCATGCATGACAAACAGTACTAAGATCTACAGAAAGAATCTCTACATGTGCTGCTGTGTGACTGGCCAGACCCCAAGCAGCTGTACTGGTATAGTGGCAATGTAGAAGAAAACAAACACACAAGAAAATCAGGTTTGAAGGAATCAGTCCACACATCAGTGATGGACAAATAAATAATACAATACAGGATCAGTATCATCCAAGGAGCCTGTGGAGTATTCTGAATGCAAACTTAAACACAACAGAAAATCTAAATGGCAGAGTGGCTTTGATTAAAATGGGTATAAAATAATTTACAGATGGCAACCTTTGGCCAAATGATCAATTCATGCTGTTCAAAACTGATGGATGAAAATGTTTTTTTTTAAAAGCACAGATTGAATACAGGGTTTATCACAAGGAAATTACATGTATACAATGTATTTGAAAAAAGAAAAAAACAATGATTTTTTTCATTTGGTCAGAGCATCTGCACAAAATAAAAACAAGCCATGGTTGAATCTCAGAAAGCAACACTGGCCTAAACATTTACAAGTTTACAATCAGTAGCTTTATAAAGTGACATTTATCATTACCATACAATGATGGCTTTCAAACCATATAATAATAAGAGCTATAAATATGGAAGTGGGGAGAAGGGTTCCCTAACACGGGCTCACGCTCAAGAAAATAAATTACAAACCAAAGAACATCTGAAATTCAGGGGGTTGTACTAAAACCAAGAATTTACTGTATATCTTGCACCCCAAAGCAATGAGGTTTTGATTGTGTACTGCAATATCTCTTATTGCTGCAAGGTACAAGAGACCCTTTATATTTTCACTGTTAGAAAACAAGAATAAATTTAGATTCTGGTGGTTTTGGATAAACAAAGCAAAACAAGAACATATCTAAGAATCGTGATTATAAATCCAAACAAAATGATTAAAAAACAAAAAAAAGATCAGCCCAAGATTTTTTTTTCTTTTTTAATTCAAGCACACCAATAAAAATCATTTATTTCTCTAAATACATAAGTTAACATTCAAATGTGAATTAACACCTCAAGCAGTAGCGTAACCAAACTGTAATGTGGGAGGAGGGATTTGTGAAACATTACTGTCAGCGTTTGCCCACAAAGGACAGCTGGCAAATACTATAGCAGCATAGGTCTGAGCCCCACTTGTTGATTATCTACAAAATGAAATATGTAATTTGACAAAACGGCCTCTCAGCTTTGTGTGGCATCCTGTAATAAGCTATGGCTTAATGCAGAGATGTAGTATTTACAGGTGACATTTGTATGAGGACATATGTGGGGGGGGTTGATTAATACAAATATTCAAAATATGAGCTCCTTATACCCCTGCCCCTGAACTGGTTTCTGTAAAGGATCTTTGCTGCTGGTGAAAATCCTGTCACAAACATTAAAGATTTTAATAGTTAAATATGAGAAATGTCATGGATTGATATTACAAAAATAGCTTTAAATTTATACGTGTGCTTGTCTCCTCTGAGTCTTGTGACAGTTTGTGCCACACAACAGCGTTATTTGGTCATTTGTCAGGGGGCTGGAAAATGGCAGAAAGCAACAAATATGATACATCATCATGTAAAAAAAACAAACCTTCTGTGTGTTAAGGCAGGAGGCTGTGTTGTATCCGTGGTGGCTTCTGATACCATGGCAACAATCCTTGACTTTTTGTGTTGTTACAGGAGCTATATTTGTCAATTTGTCATGAGTGCTCACAGTGTTTTAGGCATGCTTATATAGGTAGAGTTTTGGGAAAATATCCATATCTTCTTAAAAAGAACATTGCTGGCCCTGAGGAGAATCCAAATGAATCAATTTTTTCCACTTCCTGTTGCCTTTCAAGAATTCAGAGCTGCTGAGTTTGCTGGATGCAGTTTGAACTGATGAATGTCTTTATCCTCTCTGTCAGTAACGGGGCATTTCTGAGAGGACAGTGCTGATTTCAGTGCAACATACTACATTGCAGAGCAAGCAGCTAGCTAGCACAACACTATAGCTACCACTGACATTTGCAATAGAACTACCATAAAGGTACATACGGGTACAAGAGGTGTTACAGTCCTACCTAATATACTCAGCACCACCTTGCATCTCTACACACATCACATTACAGAAATCCATCACTGTATCCTTACGAAGCCAGACTGACTCCTCATAGCCAATGCTCAGTAACACACAGACACAAGTTGTGCCATACTGAGATGACTACCTGTGGGAGGTGTGCTTCTTTATCAACTGCTCAAGTCAGAAATATGCATCCAGTCAGCAGCTTATGCCAGAGCTTCAGTTATTCTCTAAAAGAACAATTATTCAGACCTTCAGCTCCAAAGTGATTCATTTGCTTTTGTGCAAATGGGTGATAGTCTCTAATTCCTACAACGTGGCTCAACATGTGAGACAGTTTTGGAACTGGTTCGATTTTTCCTTTGTCTTTCAAAGAACTCCAAAGTCCCCAGGAGAGAGCAAACACCTGTGGCAAGAAGAAGGTTCTTAATGGAACCCCTGCCACTTCAAGTGTCGCCTCCTCAGAAGGGCTCTGACAGTGACTCGAAAGTGAAAGAGACCTTCCTAGTGAAGCAGTACTGGCTTTGGAAAAGGTCATGCAAGAGAACCAACCAACAATAAATGTATGAAAATACCAAATCAAAGTACCAGAGTTTATATTCCCTGAACTTAGACATTTCTTCCCCTGACTCTGAGATGTTGCTGTTCTTAGGGAGGCTGCCTGTCTGTCTGCACTTGCCCCCTTATGTACTGCGGTAGGTCTTGATAATATCTTTGATCTGTCTTCTGCAGATGGGGCAGCAGGCATTGGACATTTTCTTGAGTTTGAGGCCGCAGGTGTAGCACAGACACATGTGCCCACAGGCGTAGATGACTGTGTCCACCATGTTCTCATAACAGATGGAGCACTCGTCAGACCAAGGCCCACGGCCTGTTGGGAAAGTAGGTGACTTGAGGAGGCTTACTGGTGAGTTTGGGGTTGTTCCTGTGGTGAGATTGAGATCATATGTGAAATAAAGAAAGATGGGGAAAATAAAGTAGCTAAAATTTAACACTGATATGATATAACTGTACTAATTTTTACAGTGCTGGGTTATGAATGAAATGAAAAGGTGGTGACAAAGAGACATATTGTGCTTATTGTAAGCTACTGTAAAACAGTGTGTTTTTGAAAATGACTCAATAATTGCTAATAATTACTCAAGCATGGATGAGACTGATACAGCAGTATAGACTGTTGTAAGTCAGCTTACAGAAATAACAGCGATTAAACTTGCATATTTCTTTCGATTGCTACAGTAGGAGAACCTGCTCCTAGCAATCGTTGCTGCAGCTAACATATTGAATCTTAGGAAACACTGCCTGCGAATGATAATGATGTTCACCTGACTAAATCAGCTAAAACTAAATGGCAATTCAGTCTGATTATCAAGCTAAAAAAAACATGTGTAGGAGGTTTTCTATGAGGGCTTCTTTCTTGCTCTATCTCAAAGAAAGACACATCAGCTGCATCAGTTCCATTTACATAACTGCACTATGTGACATAACAGCATGTGCCAAACTTTTCCCTAAATCCAGCTGCAGCCACAGCAGCAGTGGGACCATGAAGCGCCAGCCACTGATCCTAACTTCAGGATGGCATCTGCTCACTACCCCATAATGGCTTCCATTCAGTCCCCTGTGGAGTGACTGATACTGCTCCTGTAGCAGTATCTCCCCTTCTAGGTGTACCTACCCCCTGCTGAGCTGCAGTAAGCTGCAGAGCACAGGCCTCCGTTCAGAACTGGATCAGAGCTGCTACTGGCCAGGGCACTGGGGGTCTGTGGGGAGGAGGAGGGTGAGCTGGGGTTTGAGGTGGCCTGCGGATCCCCGGGATGAGTGGAGCCTAGTTGGAGCACACAGAAGCAAGGGATTAGATGTTTATGTCAGTCAGAACTGGAATGACTTCACATTAGCCGGTTGCAAAAAACATAGTGGAACTTGTCTCTGTGACATTCTTGGAGACTGATACTGTCATCGATAATGGGTTTCAGGACACAGACGGGCTCCTATGGAACCAGGATGGCATGATTTAGCTCCGTCCTGGAAAGGTGACAGTAGAAAATGAGAAAGGAGATCAACAAGGACTGTACTTGTTTCACATTTTCTTTTGTTTCCTTCCTCTAGTATAGTACAGACAATAAACTAGGGCAGGATTAGCATTTTTTTTCAGGTGAAAAAAAGTCACTTTCATGAAAGCACAGACTGAGCACTCCAATCTGTGAGAGCACAGTCATTGCCCATATTCACCAATGAAGAGCTGAGCGCTCTCATCTCTTCTCTTTTGGGAAAGCGTCTTTACATGGTGGTCAGGGAAATAAATGGGAATGGCTTAGGGAACACGTTTGAATGCCAGTGGATGGGTCAGACTGTTAGAGGCTTCTATGTAACTGAGAGGAAAAACTGGACTTAAAAATCATCACAGAAATTTAACATGTGACCTTAAAGCTGTTCTAATCAATTATTTTTTTATGTTAACATACGAGCTATATGTAATGTTAAATGTGTTGCTTGTAGTCAACACAGAATTATCACACAATTTAATTGGTTCTTAGCCTCTAGCTCATTGTTTTATTGTTCTGGTTGAACTTCCCACAAACTCTTATTAACCCTGATTCCAACTGTAACGTGTAAAAAAAAAAGCTCTAATAAACCCACTGAGTGGTACCTACTTGGCATCAAACAACTAGCTGTTAAATAAAAGTTAAACATCTAGCATCTTAAGAGTCAAATCATTTTCTTGGTAGATACCAAAAGAAAACTACCAGTATAATTACTACTGGACTTCTAGATTGAAGGTAGGGCGGGTGATTCATTTCAGAAGCATTTTTTGTTACATATCTTGAAATTCTCTTTGCTTCCCAGTGGCAATGAATACAGTAAATACACTGGCAACATAAAGAAACAAACCCATCGTGTGTGGCAGCAGCAGGGCTGAAAAAAAAAGCAATAAACCAATAATTTTACTTAGCATGTGCAAAACCACTGGATGGCCTACCTGCCTGTCAGCCTACTGCCTATACTTGCATGCACCCTGCCCATGCAAGAGCCAAGAGTCTCCCACAAGGCATTGCAGTTGCTCTATTTTGCTAGCTAAATAATGGCAAAGAAGGTCCCCACAGCAGCTTTTGTTTGCAAACGAAGACCATTGTTACAGACCAGGGGCCTATTTCAAGAAGGCGGTTTAACAAACTCAGAGTTCAAACCTGAACTCTGAGTTGACTTACTCAGAGTTGGAAAACTCGGAGTTTTCGGTTTCAGAACAGCTGAAAAGAGTTGGTTTAATCAACTCTGAGTTGTCTGACTCAGAGTTAGGCGCGTGCCACGCGACTATAAAAAGCCCTGAACAAGGGAGTGAAGAAATTACGAGTCACCATGGCAACAGGACCAAGCCAAAATAGGTCTGCGTTTTTCCCCGACAGAAATGGATGTGCTACTACAAGCATATAGTGACTACGAGCCCATATTTCGTAAAAAACCAAAACAAAAAAAAAAACCAACACGGCTGCAGCAGCGAAAGAGAAAGAGTTAGCTTGGGGGAAAATAGCTGCCCGAGTCAATGCGTACGTTTACATTTTAATCATACAGTGTTCGGTGTAAGTAATTACTAAATAATGTTAGTAATGTTATTATTTGTCACCTGTAAAGTAAGGAATGGTTCCTAATTCTTCAATAATTGAATGAGTAACTTCAGTAATTGCATAAAATACCGATTTTTGTACGAATTAAAAGTGCAGTTTTATGTCTACCCTTTCTTAAAATTCCTATTGTGGTTGATATGGGATTTGTAAAGTAATGATTAATAAATAATCCAGTACGTTTTATGGAGAGTAATTATTACATTAATCAAAATACTTTTTTAAAATTGACCCAACACTGATGTGATAATATAAGAATTGAATTTTAATTTTCATGTAGGTGCATTGATGGGAATATGTGTGCCATCAATGCATCCAACCACATTTGGAAATCCTGAAGGGGATTCTAATTATTAGTTTATTTCCAGAGGTCACAGCAAGATGTTATTAACTGATCATCATTTTTCAGATTAGCCTTACTGAAACGAATTCAATACCACTAACCTGCAATCCTGTGAAACTCCTCTTTAATGGCTCTGAGGGGTTTGTGCCCAGGAAACGCAACAAAAATTCACAGAAAGCGCTTGAGGGCGCGGCACACTTTCCGAACTATTCTACATACTGTGGCCTTACTTGCTCTGCATCCCCGATGTTATAAAGAAAACTGCCGTTTGCAACAAATCGTAACGCAACACAAAGCATCTGCTCGGATGTAAGAGCACGGCCACGATGGGTGATGTGTCTGATGTATGGGTGGATAAGGTTATTGATATATGTTATGGACTCTCTAGAAAAACGGTACCGCTCAAATAAAAATACATGGGGATATGACAAAAAATCAACTCGTGGCCTCAATATCCTCTCCCGACGTAAATGCAATTCCCTGCGAATTAATACAGCGTCCTCATCTACAGGATCCTCTATGAATGGACACGCCATTTTGGTCTCTGCGTGACGGAAACGTGTGCAATCTATGAATGTACTGAAAGATTAAATGAGGTATTAAACACCTTTCACTTTAAAAAGGGGCGGAGACCCGGAGGAAACTCTGAGTTTCCCGAACAAAACCTGCTCGCCAGCAGCAGGTTAGGTTCACAGAGTAAGTTGCCGTAGTAACTGACTCTGAGTTTAGATTACCTCTCTTTGTGAAACGGGTTTAACTTACCCCGCTTCACGGGTTTAAGTTACCTCCGTTTCTGAAACCGAAAACTCCGAGTTGCCCTCATTTCGGGGTTAACAAACTCTGAGTTTCGACAAAACCGCCTTCTTGAAATAGGCCCCAGGCCTTCCCCTTTAAGACATATAGATAATGTTGTTGTTGTTGTCTGAAGCTGCTACCTGCAGCGTGAGAGCGAGAAGACAGCCGCATGGAACAGATTCCTTTTACATACAGCCATGGCTGGGGAAAACAGTAGCCAGCTCTAAATGCATAGATTAAGATTATAATTCAGTCAACTGGGCACCAAGACCACATGCAGTGTTCGTGTTACTGAGACGGAAAAAAGTAATTGGTTTGAATGGCATTAGCTGGCCTCCCTCTTCACTTCCCCCGCCCGAATAGCTCGGACTTCTTAGGCTAGTTACCGGCTACGAGCCAGGACTAAAGCAGTTTAGCCATGAACCAGAGGTCACCAACTAGCTGCCTGCAGATCTCGGTGGGTAACACGGCATTTGAGAAAGTTACAAATAAAAAGAAGTTGGATGCTGCAAGAAGTAGAACCAGAATTAACATCGGTGTGGCTTTTGAACGACGGCGACAACCGAGAGAACAAAAGGGGCTGAAAAGTGACGCCAAAAAGTCCATTTTATCCAAGAGGAAGTCTCAGCACAGATATGCATGATGTAGTGTTTTCTAAAACAAAATAATACAAAGGCTTTGTGAGGGTTCCTAGCAGGCAATGTCAAATTAATTTTATGGTATTCTCTGTCAAAATATATTCTCTGTTAACCTAACTTTACCACCACAGGTAATGCAGTGACACCACATTGCCTAACAAATTAGGATGCAAATTAGCTGTCTTGCAGGGCAAGCATGAGCTCATCTACAAAGAATTCCCATTAAATGCTTTGTTGCTTCTCAACGTAAATGCAGATTACTTTAATTACCTTCCATGACTCTTGCTATCATCAAACAGCACACTAACCGCTGCATCAGAAATCAGCCGCTCTGGGCACGTTACATATTTAACAATCCTATTTCAGGACCTGATTTTTTTTTTATAAAAGCATCAGTCCACTGTGATGAATCTTACTGAAGAACATTTCATGGTGTGTCTGCTCTCTTGGATGGCTGACAGCAACAAATGTGAAACCAGAGTCATCCTCAGCACTGCCCAGTAATATTGTGATGACAGCCCTGCACTAACCAATGTCTCAGCAGTCTGCCAAGAGGCGTCTCTCTGCAGCCATCTGCACCAGCAGCCCAATCAATCAAAATTATGCCCAGGGCCAACACACAGAGGCCCACTCTACTTTCAGGCCAAACCCTTAATGGGCCATTGTAATTTAGAGAAACTGTCCCCTAACTGCCGGGTCACAAACCAGACTGCTCCAGTGTTTTTGTCACCAGTAATGTGTCATCATGTCACTGCTGCTCATGACTCTAAATCAGGAGCTGCTGGATGTGGGGTTTCAGACAGACGGAGGGGTTTAGTCAAGCATCTCTTTTGTTTGTATAGTGGGGGTTGCCCTGGTGCTGCCAAAGCCCTTGGCACCTTGAAGTGTACATGTGTGTATGAGCTGTACAGGATGTACAGTGTGGAACACAATGTGCACTACAGCAGGCGAGGCCCCATTATCCTTATCCAGGCAGTAATATAGATGGTCAGACTGGCATCTATGTATACTGTAGATATAAAGCTACAAGTAAACAGCAAACATAAAGCAGGGGAAGCAGCAATCTGACACACTGTTACTAATTAATGTAATTTTACAACAGTTTGTTCTATTGTTTTTCTTTTCATCTGTCTTTTCTGCATATTATCATCCTTGGATCAACTTTTTTTTCTAAATTCTAAGATTTTAGTGCTGTATATGTCAGGACCACAATGGAAGATAATAGGGATCTTACCAGCTGAGAGTTCCCAGCCTTTTTGTGAATTCTTACAATGAAACATTGTCTTGTTGTGAGCCTTCGTCATTGGTTGCATACATCTTCTAGATTTCTCCAGTTTACCCAAACACTGACTTTATTGAACTTGCAAGTTATTCCTTTACAAGACTTCTCACTTTCTTCCACTTTCCCTCTCAACTTATGCCCACTAAGATT